GTTTGACATCACAGATAACAATCGTGGGCGAATTTGTTCACACAGTGAAGAAAGAGAGTTGGCATGTTTGTGTGAACAAATTCATCACAGATAACGTTATTCTTAATTAAATGAAACAGGATTTGAGGTGATTGATAGAGGATGTTGTGGCGTGGGGAAGAACAATGGTCAAATAACATGTCTTCCTCTTCAACAGCCGTGTGATGATCGCTCAAAGTACATCTTCTGGGACGCTTTTCATCCCACTGAAGTTGCAAACATTGTTCTGGCCAAGAAGGCATACTTTTCAACTTCTAAAGTCTTTGCGTATCCCATCAACATTCAACAATTAGCAATAATTTAATGAGTGACGCATTTCTTCCAAGGAGGGACAATTGCCCAATTCCCTTGTATGTTTTTACTATCATATAGTTTTATGTACTACCTTCGTCTCCGAATAAATTTTCATTTTTTAGGTTCCCGCTTCTATTGCAAATCTTTGGTCATTGATATCCATACTCATAAATTAATATTATAAACATATGATATTTGAAAGCAATATATCAAAATGATTGTAAGGATATTACATTCACATTAAATTCCATTGTATTTTTACTGCTCATCATGGTTAAAGTTTATAAACCTTGACCACAGAAATCACAATGAGAACTTTATATTACCATGGAGAGAGTATGCTCTACATTCTTATTTGAGTTATTTGTATGTCTTAATGCCACACAGAATCTAAAATGCCTAGCTTAGCAGCTTAGGCTTTAGAAAGGGGGACAAATGTCTGGTACCCATTCTTTAATATCAGGCCAACGCTAAGGCTAAAATATACTCCGGTGATCTGGTCTATATAATCCTTTCCATGATAGTTACACAAATACAATCTTTGGGAGCGCATGAGTCTCTATTTCCACAACCAATCCTAAACGGCAGAAGAAGTCGCTATAATAGGGAGCATGACAAAAGAGCAAATTTAGCAGTGAAGTTGTGTTGGAATACTCAGATCTCAGCATTTATCGCAAAACGATACCCACGAGGACTTAACTACTTCAGAGTAAGGATTGGTGAAAATGTCAAAGAAATAAACCAACTTTTACTCATTTGGAAACAACTCGCAAGGGAGTTTGGTTCTCCACAGATAAGGCAAATAAATACTTTCAGTAAAATAATTGAAAGAGGAAGTGCTATCTAACTACAAGTATGGGCAATCACCTGACTACGGTTCACAGAAGAAATGCAGCCAACTCTTCAGCAACCTACACATGCATCAGAATTCAAAATGATCATAAAGAAAAGAAAATGACTGCTATAGCATAAAATTGTTTTTACAACAAAAACAACAAAAAATAAAGTTTACCAAAGTTTGTTCTTTGCATGACAATAATAGTCAATATGGAGAGCAAAAATAGTCATCATTATGTGTGTTCATAAGCCATAACATAACATTATAAACAATTATCATTTATGTGTCATAAGATAACATGTAAAATTGCTACTAAAAGCAGGAGGAAACTAAAAATATGCCTAAAGAAGGAACACAAGAACTTTATCAAGGAGGGAGGGAGTGCATGACAATCTTACACTCTCTCCTTGAAAGTACAAAACACTTGCCTGCATCTACCTGATAAGAATACAAGATTTCTTTCAATTCCATCAAAAGTATCAATGAAATCCAAGTTAGACCTTGTAGATATTTTTTGTTTTATGCCCACCTTCACTCTAGCTTGCCTCCATAACCTATACTTCATGCTAAGAAAAAGCATGCATCCTTTAATAACAATATACATGTATATATCATCTCAATACACTAAACAAAGTTATCTTTAATTACAATAACTAGGCATGGTTATACATCATAAAAAATAATACATTATTTTAAAAAATGAACTAGAAACAAATGGAAGATTTTTAGCAGTGATGTATGTGGTTACATACAAAACCTGCCAATCAATTAAAAGATCTTACTAATTGCTTGTATGGTTAAATCCAGTTTGATTCCAGTCTTCAGTCAAAACCATGCGAAAGAAATTATCATATTTGACATTCTTAATATGCCATGTATTAGACTGCCTACATCTCCATGAGTACCATTTTTCAGATTAAGAACTTACCAAATCCCTATTCTCAATGTACAAGTGCCAATTTTAACAGAATCATAATTGCCATTAAAGCTGCTACAACCAAAATACATTAACACAGACACTATGCCACAACATACAGACATACCGCAAGTATATACAGGTCACTAATAAGAAAGCTAAACAGAACACCATACTGTGCATTGGCTTCCCATGAGTAAGAACAATACATCTACTGAACTCCATAACAGCACAGATTTATCTCTAAGGGAATTAATATATCTGGAAAGAGAAACAGATCATGTACAAATCAAGCCACCTAGAAACCCAAGCACAAAAGTGCCCGGGAATGATTACATTGGGATGAAACTGCTATTCCTGCTCTTCTCAACTTCCTCAGCTATTTTCCCCACTCTTTCTTTCAATTCCTTCCCCCTTGGATGCTCCCCTTTTTTCTGCTCTTGCTTTCAGCTTGGTCTCCCTTAGATGGTTTGGTTGCTATCACAATTCTTGCCTTTTCCTTCAATCCCTCGGTATCTTTTCCCTTTAAAAAGGACTTTTATTTGCCAGTCCCACCATTGGCATTAACATTTGATTAGGACATTGCTTTTGTTGTTATAGTGTCTTGCTGCAATTCGGTGGCTGTCTTCAGAGAGGCATCAGGTTTAGATGAGTTTGACATCAAGGAACTGCAAAACATTCCTTTCAATATACCAGGCCCTTCATCATCAAAATGGCATGACGGGCAGTTATCAGTCATATCCTTATACTTATCTGTGCTAGCAGATTTGGAGGGGTCGACCTTGGATTTGGGATCAACGTCAGTGTCGTCTTTGAATTTCCCGTTAGGTTTTGGACTTGATCCTAATGACTGGAACCCATTACTCTGAGATGAAACATCCAATTTGCCGTGCTCAGATGATGTTTCCGCAAGTTCTCCACTCTTCTTCTTCTCCTTCTCCTTCTGCTTCTCACTAACAATCCGCCATTCTTCTTCTTTTAGTCTCAGAAATTCTGTATCTCCATCTATGTATACAACTTTGTGTCTCTTATTTAAATGATTAAAATCTTCTATTACACCATCGTAATATTTATCATCTAATGGCCAATAAACTTGGATCTTTGAACCAACAAGGCTTTCATCATATTTTATCTTTTTTTTCTTCAATACTTTTTCCTCGCCCAAATAGTGCTTTCTCTTTGTGCTCTTCCTTTTGTTTTCTTCTATACCATCATCTTCAGCACCCTTCATACGACACTCTTCACAAAGCAGGAGCCTATTGTTGTCATCATTAGTGGAGGAATTTGACAAATCAATCTCTGTACTTCTCTGAGATGAAACGTCCCACTCGTCATGCTTAGATGATGTTTCAGCAAGTCCTCCACTCTCTTTCTTCCTATGCATTTGCATGTCACTAACAATGTGCCATTTTTCATCCTTTAAGTCCCGAACTTTTACCTCTCCATCGTTGTATAAAACTGTGTGCATCTTCATTACAGGGTCAAAATATTTTATTACACCACCGTAATATACACCATCTAATGGCCTAGAAACTTGGATCTTGGAACCAACAAGGCTTTCATCATATGCTATCTTTTGATTCTTCAGTACTTTTTCCCTGCCCAAAGAGTGCTTTTTCTTCGTGCTCTTCCTTTTGTTTCCTTTACCATCAGCTTTAGCATCCTTCATACTATGCTTTTCTGAAAGCCGGAGCCTGTGGTTGTCATCTTTTGTGGAGGTCTTTGACAAATCAATCTTGGTACTAGCCTTTCCATGTTGACCCCTTTTTGGTTCACCATTTGTCTTCAGGGAAACACCCTCTCTCTTGTCAGCTTTAATCTGCTTTGACCCTGCATCACAAACAATGCGGCTATAAAGCTGGTCCAAAGCCTTTCTTTCTGTCAAATTTTCACTAACAATGTTCCATACTTTCTCCTTAAGATCCAACACTTCTTCTCCGTGAGTGTACCAAACAGTGTGTTTCTTTTTGACACGATCAAAAGATATTATTACACCATTGTAATATATATCATCCCCTGGCATATAAACTTGGACATTGGAACCAACAAGGCTTTCATAAAATGTTATTATCGGATTCTCTGGTACTTTTTCCTTGTCTAAAGTATGCTTTCTGTTCGTGCTCTTACTTTGGTTTCCTTCATTGCAAACATCTCCAGCAGACTTCATACTAGGGATTTCTGAAAACAGGAGCCTATTGTGGTCATCTTTTGCAGAGGACTGTGAGACATCAATCTCAGTACTAGCCCTTGCATGTTGACTTTGTGTCTTCCCGACTTGCTGCGTCAGACCTTCCACCACTGCATCACGTATGGATCCCGCTTCTTCCTCAATAGAAGATTCTCTCTGCTCCCTTGTTCTAGGGTTCTGTGGAAGTGATTCTGAATCACTTGTTTTTCTTGAAGAAACACCATTTCTCTCATTAGCTTTAGTCTTCTCACCTTGTTCCTTCAGGCCTTTCACCTTTGCATCCCTCATGGACCAAGACTCTTCCTCAAGAAAAGTATCTGCCCGCACATTTGTGCCGAGGTCCCGTAATATCAAATCATATGTCTCTTCACATGGCATCTTTGATGCAATTGCAGCAGACAAGGGCTCTTTTCCGTTCTGAACCAAGCTATCATCCTCCTTTGGCTGAATAGTCATCTGAACCAGGCTATCACGCACAGTATGACTAGGGCCTGGCAGAGAAACAGTAGCAGCTTCGTTCTCTGGATTTTTGTGCAAAAAAAGCAGACCACCACTTCCATTTTCCTCAAATTGTTTGGCTGCCTCAACTGGTGTGTCATCAGCAGGAAAATTAGTAATACCTCCATCCTTTGCTTTTTGTTCTTCAGTTGAATATTCAGCAAGCAAGCAATGTCCATCTCTCTTACTTACTTGACTACCTGGAGTGTCCTCAGCCCCTAGTTCATTATTAACCAGAGGATCCTGGTCCAAAGAACATTTCAATTTCAGTTGTAAGTTAGACTTCCTCCCTTTCTCCTTAGAGCATATCCACTGCGATGCATTTGAGGGAAGCAAATGCTTGTGTGGCAGCAAAGAGAAAGGGGAACCATTAGAGAGACTAGGGGCAAATGGAAGGGGTTGATGGAAGGGAATCAAATCCTCCCAGAGAGAGAGAGAGAGAAGTTGATTGGGCCACAATGCCACAGAGGATTGCAATTTTTTTTCTTTTCCTCCAACGGTTGGACAAACATTTTTTTGTTTTTCTACACGGTCAAATGACTCAAATGGTTAGCTTTTACGAAGTAAAAAAATTCTGCACCAACAGTCAACTGAGTCATATGGATTTTTTTGCACCAACCGTCAATTAGGTAACTTTTTTTTGTTGCACCAACGGTCAATGAGATCGTATTTTATTTTTTTTCTTTTTGTCCATATATACCGACTTCATATTCAACCTAAAAAATCACAAATCTCTTACAGAGTATTTGTTTTTTGCACTAAACAGTCAAATATTTTTTTTTTTGTAATGAAAATCACAAAACTTTTATGTAAGAAAAGATAAAGAGAAAAAGTAAAGGGAGGACTAAGGAGAGGTGAGGAAAGTTGATGGGGAAAGTGACGTGTAATCAATAGTAATGTGGGAGGGGAAAATGATTTTCCGATTAGGGATTACGGGTTTCTAAGGACGTTTGAAACTTAGATTTCACACTGCTTTCAATCTGTGAATCATCAGGGGTACGTTTAGGTGTCAGATTTGCAAAATCAGGATGTCGAGGAAGAACATCTTCTTAATAACATACCTCTTGGTTGGCGTCCTCACTCCTCTGGCGCAACACATCCGAAGAGACTGTAGGCGCTTTGTTGCCGAGAGCCCGAACCATCTTTCCAAAGCTAGAACTAGCAAACTGTCTCTCAGCACACAAAGGGCCATTCGATGTATCACTATTATGCTCAAAAAAGATAGGAGACACTTGCAGAACAGAAGTTACAAATCTACTGTACTCATCCAGTGATAAGCTCAAAGATTTTATAGCACATTTGACATAAGGCTTAAGCCTGAAAGCACAATTCCTTAAAGCACACCCTGCCAACCTCCTACCAATTGCCTTTATCTCCTCATTCTCCTTCCTAACACTGGCTAACAGGCTTGTAATCAGAACTACAGAAACATCATCACTTTCTTCGAGAACAGCTGTCATGATGGATTCCATGGATGAAAAGATGTAGTATGGATGATATTCTCTAACAGACTTAATGAAGTACTGAAACATCCTAGAGATAAGTTCCTCACACTTGAGATCCAACATAACAACCCATAACCGGACCTCGCACACCGTCTTAAGGATCATGGCTCGATTTTTAAACGATCTGCTTGTCTCATCATGTAGATTCTCAAAAGAAGAGACAATTAATTCAAAGACAGACCTCATCTTTTCATCGCCGTATGGAACACTTGGTGCAGTAATTCTGGTAATCTCACTTAAGCAAGACGCGAGGGCAACCTTCACGTCGAGGTTGGAGTTTCTCAAGAGCGCATCTTCAACCAACGCCTTGATCAATGGAGAGAGTGAAGCAAGGACAGATTTAGCGGGTGATTGCTGCACTTTCGTGAGGAAGGAGACGGCTTCATCCAGTAAAGGGAGCAGTTCCTCGATGGACGAAGGGGGTTTAAGAAGCTTGTTTCCAGCTTCCATCAATTGCTCTTCTAGCGTTGGCGAAGACTCCATCTTATCAAGATATCGGACGCAATTCTATCAGTCTAGTTGTTATAATAGTTGTTATAATGTTATTGATGCGATGGTTGAAACGCTTGGGCATGTGTTAAAGGGTTGTGTATGTTTTGGTTTTGTAGGATTTTGAAAGGTTACATTGTATCTTTTTGTTTTGTGAAATGTGAAGAGTGATATTATTCTATTTAGGGGTTTTTTAATTTGATGTTGGTGGTTGAAGAGATTCATTTTTGTAATGATTTTAAATGTTCATTTTGGCATTGTACCGGTTGATGTTCATTTTGGTGTTTTGATGTTCGTTGGGGATATATGACGGCTGGGCATCTGTACATGTTACTATTGAAGCGAGAATTGCGAAAGACGAACATCAATGCTTAGTGTCTGCACACATTGGCCTACACGTTGGCGTTTAATGTTTGAGGTCTGTACGCGTTGGCATTTACTGCCTTGTCACGTATGACATGTGGCAACACTACAACCCCTAAACTATCTTTTACATACATACATATACATACATACATACATACATACATACACACACACA